AATGGGACGAGGCCGGGGACCTCACAATTCTACCCGGAGTTATCCTGGCAGCCTCAGCCAGTTTAGCTTACGAGCCCAGCTCGACCGTCCAAACTTAACTGCGTAAAATGTCAAAGTTACTATCTGCTGGAAACCGGGTCCAGCGTCCCATCCAAATAACTTTCCAAAAATTAAAACTTTGAAGCACATAGCAAAAGGTGAGCTATCCGAAAATCCTAGCTCAAAATTCAGAGGCCGGGAATCCTCACCAGCAATCCGGATATGACTGAGAGCTGGAAACCAAGTCCAGCATCCCAAGTCCTAGCCTTATCACCTATTCTTTCAAAGACTAGTCCAACAGCTTGTGAAAACAAATAAGAAGCAGAGTCTCTACAACTTGAAAAATCCATACCAAATTACCAAACCTGCTTCAATCCAATTCCTCACGGCTGTCCTTAAAGGAGAAATTCTAAAAACACTCACCCTGCGCCTACTACGACGCTAGAGCCAACATGTGTACCAGCGCAGAACCTATCTTGGTCTGCTAAAAAAAAAAAAAAAAAAAAGGCTTACCTTGCTACCGGCGGCTCTCATGGTGGTTTCAACCACCCTGTAAGGTCTAATTTCCTTTCCTGTGTCACTGTGGCCAAACGGTTATCTCTTGCCCATGTCCTCAAGAACCAAGAAGACCCTTTCTTCTTACTTCTGAAGGACTGTTGCCAATCTGCCCTGACCATCTGCCTCATGTTACTGCAAACCTGTTTCTTTTGTTCCTGTAATGAGATCTTTTTCCCCGTAAATACCAGCGAGTTTCTCGCCCTCCAGATTTCTTGGAAGATAACTCCCCTGCACACCAGTGCCACATAGCCCCACCCCTCCCTAAGGGTGGAATCAACAGCTGGCAATTGACCATATAATATCCAATTATCCGACCAAGGCCACGTTCCTCCTGTGGATTGTTGCCAAAGGGAAGTCCACCACATCCAAAGTTCATCCGCCACGTTAGGAATTTTTGACCTCGTGATGAATTTCCACAACGCTTTTCGTCGCAGCCTAAGGAACGCCGTGTTGGCGGGAAAATCACTTGTTGGCGCCATTGCCTTTGTGAAGGCTGTGTTGGCGGGGAAAATCGTTTTCTGTCGCGAAGCCTTTGTTGGCGGGAAGCCCCGTTTCTGTCGCCATTGCCTTTTTGAAAGGCTTTTGGCGGGAACCCCATACTATCATAGGAAAAGAACAAAAGCAAGCTGTCCTCTTTTTTTTTTTTTTTTCCTACTTCTGGTTTACGAGAAAGGAAAACCCACCCTTCTCAATGAATTTGAACGTAGCGCAAGGGAAGGGGGTTAAACATAAGTATTAATATAATATGAAACTCCGACGAAACAGTTTGTCACAGCCCCTCGTTTGTTGTCTTCTTTTCCCTCCCTCTCTGCCTATGGTTTGCTGGGCAGCTCTGTTTGACGATATATATATCAGTTGTCGGGCAGTCGTTGATGCTTAACCACAACCGGGGTTTAAGGTGGATTATCACTAACAGTGCAATCAGTTAGGGGATTCTGCAGACTGTTGAGGCTTCAGCCTCCTGATGAGTGGGTGAAACTCCGACGAAACAGTTTGTCACAGCCACTCGTTTGTTGTCCTCTTCTCCCTCCCTCCCTCTCTGCCTACGCTTAACTGGGCAGTTCTGTTTGACGATATAATATATAATATCATGTGACAATATAAATGTATATATATTGTCACAGTGGAAATCGGAGCGCAAAGGCGGAGAAAGACAGAACAAGAAAAAGAAAAAGAAGTAAGGAGGGAAAGCCCCACCTGTTCGTCACCTCTTACGTACAAGGCCAGCCACGTGGATGACAGGTTGAGCACTGGCTGCCCCCATCCCCGTGTGTCATAAAGACCCACTTGCACGCAGCCAAAAGGCAAAGAGGTAAAGAAAAGGCGGAGGAAACCAAACCTCATAGAAGAAGAAAGCCTATTAAACAGACGAAGCAAGTGACACATCCCACAGATAATCCAATTACCATCCCACAGAACATATTTTTCTTTTTTCTTTTTTCTTTTTATATCGTCAAACAGTACTGCCCCGTAAACCGTCAAAGGGATGCTAAGCAAAAAAGAAGGAAACTAGGAAGGGGATGCTAACGAAAAGAGCGAGAACAAAAGCAAGGAAATCGGGGGAAAAAAGTCCGAAAGGGAGGGCTAACGGGAAAAAAAAGAAAAAGAAAGAGAGGGGGGGATGCTAACGAGAAAAGAGGAGAAAGAGGGGAAAGAGAGACGGGAAAAGGAGGGAGAGGAATCTATGTTGCCAGAGACGTGGAGACTGATTTTTTTAATTGAAAAAAAAAGAGAAAGAAAAGGAACAAAACAAAAGGAAAACGACCTCTTTCCAATACCTTTCTCGGCCTTTTGGCTATAGATCTGATCCGTGGTGGTCCCCACGGGCCACATTAAGAAGAAGAAGAAGAAGAAGAAGAAGAAGAAGAAGAAGAAGAAGAAGAAGAAGAAGAATAGTGGAAAACAGTGGCCAACTGCGTTTCGTACACGCATCGAAAGTTCTTCATTACAAAGCTGCGCATACTCGTCTCAGCTCTCGCGCACATTCCCCGACGCGTTTCGATCGGTTGCGCTCTGATCATCCTCAGGGGGCTAACCTCATGACCCTGCCTTGCGGTTCCACCGTCTACCCTCCCGTCGTACTGAGTGTAGAGGACCGATACGGCCTTGTCCTCCTATATACTGTCCGTGGAGATGCTGAACTAGCTAGCACGGTACTCCTTCCCTAACGGGCACTTCCACGAGCGACTAGAAGAAGAAGAAGAAGAAGAAAAGAAAAACCCGACCTCTTTCCCGCGAAATTAAAGCTGATGGGAGAGAGAGGAAAGTGGGGCTGTGTTATGCGATGTGGAGGTTTCCCTCGACCTCTTTCCCGCAAAATTTAAGACGCAGAAGCAGAAGAAGCAGAAGCAGCAGCAGCAGCAGCAGAAGAAGAAGAAGAAGAAGAAGAAGAAGAAGAAGAAGAAAAAGTGACAAACAGCGGCCAAACTGCTTTCAGTACATGCTTCTGAAGCTTTGCACATTCCAAATCCGCACGTATGATACTGAGCAACGCGAAGAAGGAGAAGAATTGAATTGAGTTGAATTCATTTTTGAAGAAGAAGAAGAAGAAGAAGAAGAAGAAGAAGAAGAAGAAGAAGAAGAAGAATTTCTTTTTTCGTCCAGGATCCGATCTCAAGAATCGAACACGCGACCTCCCTCATGGGACTCGCACGCTCAATCAAACGGCTACTCTGACTAGGGTGAAAGTTGAGCCCCAAGATTGGTACTTGACCGTAAGAAGAAGAAGTGACAAACAGAGGCCAAACTGCTTCCAGTACATCCTTCTCAAGCATTGCATTCCATATCCGCTCGTACAATACTCAGCAACACGAAGAAGAATTGAATTGAATTGAATTTGAATTGTATTTGAATTGAGTTTGAATTGAGTTTGAATTGAATTTGAATTGAATTTGAATTGAATTTGAATTGAATTTGAATTCAATTGAATCCTACATGCACCTTTCACGAAAAAGAAAATCGATGTCCTTCGGGACATCCGTTAAAGTTGGAAGATACAGAGAAGGAAGATTAGCATGGCACCTGTGCATTAATGGATGATACGCATAAATGGGTAGATGCTCGGAAAAAAAANCTTGAATGTGTTGTCCGTGCTCCAGGCGGGTGTGAAGCAGCCTCCGAAGGCTGCCTGGGCCCCTACTGGGTCCAACCAGGCCACCTGGACGGGTCCCGTGCTGGTGGAACAGCGAAGAAGCTGGTAGCCCACTGGTAGATAGGGTGTTAACTTTTTTTAATCTCCAGATGACGTAGTGCAGCTCTGACTGATGCTGGCTGTTCCAATTCGTTTTCCTGTTCGTGCAGTTAGGTCAGTGGAGGAGGTGCCGACTGAGATAAGAGGAGCAGGAGGGCGAGGAGGAGGAGGAGGAAAAGGAGGAAGAGGAGCACCTGAGAGTTCTGCGAGTAAAGGTAAAAGTAACTATGGAAAGACGTTTAAGGCAGGCGGCGATCCATTATCGTTCCACCCTGCACTTACACATCAACTATTTGGAGAGGAGGAGAAAATCTACGGATACAAGGGGCTGCAGGTATGTTGGATACACACATATTATTATTATTATTATATATTATATATTATTATTATTATTATTATTATTATTATTATATTAATATTGTTATTGTCTTCTTACTCTTCTTTTTTCGTTTCTTCTTTCTTTTTTTTAATAAGGGCGACGGCCTTGGGATACCATATCATCATCGAACTGACGGGCCGTAGGTAATTCAGAATTGTAGTATTTGTATTTCACTCATCTGCGTCCAGTGGAGTTCGAACTCAGCACCTGGTCTGTATTTCAACAGTTCAGTCCAGGGGGGGTGTACCAACTGAGCTAGGCCAGTTTGGTAATACACACATGTTCTTGATTTGCAGGATTCAGCTTTTCTCACTCACCGTCCTCGTCCCTCCGTTTTTTTTTGTTTTTTTTTTCCCTCCCTTTCTAGCTTCTCAATTTTCTTTCCCATGAAAAAAAAGGTAAAAAAAAATTCCCCTGAGTTCTCATCAACAAGAACGACTACAGGGAAGGAATATATCTAGTTTCCGTCAGTCAGGGCATATATTCAGATTTGGACTTTCTGGCCTGAATATGGCTGCAATCGCTGTCATGTACATCTGGCAATGTCTAGTGTGAATGTGTCCTTGTCCTCGGTTTGATCACTAACTTGTACCTATTGCAGAAAGAGTACAACCGGGATACTAAAAAAAATGGACTTTCTGGACTGAATCTGGCAGAGCAATCACTGTCACATGCATCTGGGAATGCTAAATTGTACCTATTGTGAAGGAATAGCTCTAGAGAAAGCATGCAACCCTGGGCTCAGCCATGGGCCCAGCCATGGGGCTGGGGCCTTGGAGATTCTGTGGTTGAGAATTTGTGTCCTGGGTTGGCACAGGTATCCCATTACAGGATGAAGATTTTTTAATCTAGAATAACTAACCTACTGCTCTTGGACCCTTTTTTTTTTTCTTTTTCTTTTTTGGTAAGATCCTAGCCTGAGTCTTTTTTCTAGGGGTGTTGGTACGCTCATCCCCCCTTAGTACGACCCTGCTGTATACTCCAGTCTGTTGGTGGGAAGCCGCACCTGTAGTGTGGTGTAATAATTCGCAATTCTTTCGGTCCAGCATCAGAAGTAAGTTGAGTCATAGTCTCAGTATGTTGGGAAGTCAACGAGCATGGCTGTCTATTTCGGTCGGTCATTGTTATACCTGTATGTGGGGGAACTTTCAGTCTAGATTCAGAAGAGAGTCTTCGCGTCTGTCAACGCGCATGGCTGATGCACTGCTGCCATGTTGTACAGGCCCATAGCTGAAGCGTGGGACTCTACGGTCTCCTAGTCGACCAATAGAGATGAGAAGCAAAGTGCAGAAAATAGGAATCAGAAAAGATGAACAAGTGTGATGTCGTCACACTCTAAACCAGCCGCGATCAGCGAGGTTTTATGAATCTACGTCTCCCTGAAGTTCATGCCTATCTCTATCTCTGTAGGTAGCAGGCGTTTTCAATCATACGTCCCCCTTATGTGATGCCGTCGCACTCTAAACCAGCCGCGATCCGCGAGGTTTTATGAATCTACGTCTCCCTGAAGTCCATGCCTATCTCTATCTCTGTAGGTGGCAGGCGATTTTATGCGGTTTTAATCACGCTTCCTGTCGGACAATAGGTTGCATCGTTCGGTGTGTCTTTCTTTTCTTGAGTTCTTCCTTGTTTCTCTTCTGTATGAAACTGCATGAAACTGCGTGAAACTGCATCGTCTTGATTTCTTCCTCGTTTCATCGTTGGACAAAATGTTGCATCGTTGGACAAAATGTTGCATCGTCTTGTTCCTCGTGTACAAAATATTGCATGGTCTTGAGTTCTTCCTTGTCTCTATTCTGGATGAAACTGTATCGTTTGGTGTGTATTTCTTTTCTGTTTTTTAGGTGTCACCCTTGCATATTGACCATGGTTATCTTGTGTGTGTGTGTGTGTGTGTGTGTGTGTGTGTGTGTGTGTGTGTGTGTGTGTGTGTGTTTGTTTTGGGTATTGTTTCGGTTTTAACAGTATCCTAGTTCCTGATATGATTTCCCCCTGACGTAGAGGGGGAGGAGGATTGGATCGTAGAACCTTGTTCCCCTTTCTGAAACTTTCAAAACTCCGGAGTTATTTTGTGCATGCAAATGCAAAGTGAAGTACTGTCTCTGGTGGGGATCCTGACCCTTATCATTTAGAGGAAGGAGAAGGCGTAATAAGGTTTTTTTTTTTTTTTTTTTACAAGAAAAACTCTGCTCATTGTAGAAAAGCTGAGAGAAACTAGTAACAGACCCTATGACAGGGCCGTCACTATATTGACCATGGTTTTCCTGTGAGTATTGTTCCGTGTTTTTTTTTTTTTTTTTTTTTTTCCCCGGCTCTAATGTATCCTAGTTCCTGATACGATTCCCTGACGTGGAGGGGGGAGGAGGAATGGATCTTAGGACCTTGCTCCCCTTTCGGAAAAACTTTCAAAACTCCGGAGTTATTTTGTGCGTGCAAACGCAAAGTGAAGTACAGTCTGTGGAGGCGAGCATTATCGTACAAAAGCTGACAGAAACCGGGCTTCAGTTCTTCATCTTATTTTTCTTTTTTCTTTTTTTCGTATGCACTTGTGTTGCTCGGCCTCTGGCACGGTCTCTGGTCTAGAACAGCATAGTACAAAAGCCGACAGAATCTAGTAACAGACGCTATGACAGGGCTGTCATCGCAGTACACGACATTGTCCGCTCAATGTGTCTTGCTCTGCACAAAGCTGCCCCCTCCCACTGGTCGTAGCAGTATGGCTGAACAGCAGAGATCGATTGGGTGAGATCTATAGCCTGGATATCGGAATCCCAGATTTGACCCGCTGGTCGTGATGGTTTGCTGGTTGGTCCTTTGAACAGCAGAGCGTCCGGTCATTCCTCCGGCAGGGAAACGAGGGAATGAGCAGAATAAGACGGAGCAATGGTGGGGACACCTTGGTTTGGAAAGTATTTGCAACAATGGAGTGAAGTATGTTGCGATGGTCTGGTGCGCTTTTGCTTGTGGAATTCAGTGGGGAGCTGGAGACTGTGTTCTGAGTTTGAGCTGTTATGCTGTGGTTGCTGATTCATGCAGGTTGATATTTGGATCCACAGGTTCACATTTCACGCTTTTGTGCATATGAAGTATGATAGCATTGTGCAGGTGTGCTCTTGTGATTCCGTCTACCTTTCTTGCTTTTCTTTCCCTTTTCTCCATTGCCTCCTTCCCTTCCCGCCTTCCCTACCCTCTCTTTGCATCGCTTCCCTTTTATTCCCTTCCTGTGTTTCCGTTCACCCCCTTACTCTATCCTTTCTTCCTCTTCTCCTCCCCTCTCCCGTTTCCCCCCCCTGTGTGTGTGTGTGTGTGTGTGTGTGTGTGTGTGTGTGTGTGT